CAATGTCACGGGAAGAGCAAGGCCTCATGCCTCCCAATGTTAAATATCTTTCTCTGAATCATTGTGGGGCTTTGAAGTGTTTACCAGATGGTATGATGATGAGGGCAGATGGAAGCAACAACATGGTGAGACTTGAAGAGTTGAGAATTGAGAATTGTCCCTGTCTAAAGCGTTTTCCAAGAGGGAAGTTATCTGCCACGTGTCGACTCTTAGAGATAAAAGGTTGTGCCAGAGTACAGTCTTTACCGGAGGGAGTATTGGTGCAAGAAGATGATGGTGGCAGCAGCAACAATATTGAAAATTTGAAAGTCATAGGACTTCCAAATTTAAATTTTATTCCCAGTGACGATCGATTACCAGCTGCTCTTAAGAAATTTGGAATTAGAAAGTGCCCCAGGTATATTACTTTGCAAAAGAACAGAACTTCCCTCTGTCTAAATTTTTAAAATATTTTCCATAGTTATAAGATCAGTTAGTAGCTGCTCTTTTAAAGTATTTTGAAATTTATTTATCATTGGCACAGGTTGGAATCAATTTCAGAGAGGATGCTGCAACATTGTACAAGACTTGAAGGCATGAGTATTTCGGATTGTGTAAATTTGAAAAGCTTATCCTTCGGCGGCCTCAGCAATCTCACTCGTTTATACATTACAGGATGTGATGCTTTAGAGTCCTTCCAGGAGATGCCGGAGTTGAGCTTATCCATCCCCAATATTAAATATTTTATAATTTTTAATTGTGAGAATCTCAAGTCCTTGCCAAATAAGATGGACAACCTCACATCGCTTCAAATCTTGTGTATAGAAAGGTGTCCAGGCATCAAGTCAATTCCTGAAGGGGGTTTGCCCCCAAGCCTAACTTATCTTTCAATTGCTTGTGAGAATCTGAAGCAGCCTATGCGAGAATGGGGCCTCCACACCCTCACTTCTCTTCTCCTCTTCTCCATTGCTCATATATGTCCTCCAAAGAATGTGCTTCCTTCTTCTTTACCCATGCTTTGGATAAAAGACGTTCAGAATCTGAAATCCATACCCAAAGGCCTTCTCCGAAACCTTAACTCTCTCACAGGGTTATGGATCTCGAAGTGCCCAAAGCTACGATCCTTGCCAAGAAAAGGCCTGCCTCCATTGCTTGGACTACTCTGGATCTCAGAGTGTCCGCGTCTAAAAAGAGAGAGTTTTCAGGAGAAAGGGGAGTATTGGCACCTCATAGCTCACATTCCTCAAGTTTCGTACATGGAGGTACAATCAAGCTCTTCCGAAACTCAGAATTTATAAATAAATTTGTTAAATAAAATGAGAGGCTTTTGTTAGTTGTTACCAGCATCTCCAATTTCTCTTTCAGGATATGCCGCAATTTGTAGAATATCCTTCTGTTATTGAAATTTTGGTTTCCCTCCTTGATTGAATTGAGTGCTTCAGGTACGTTGGGTTTATACCTTGAATTTTGACCACCTTCAAAATTTTCAAACTTGAATCTCTATTTTTTCTAGTGATATTCATTCACAAAGGTTGTCCAAATCTGGAGATGAACTTGAAGTAGAAGACAATGCTAAGCCAAGAAACCATATTATGTCATGTTATGAGCAGGCCGATGGTTTATTTAGGTACCAAATAATTCCTTTTTCAGGTCAATTATTTTAGGGATTCTCAATTATATACCCTAAATTGTAAAATTCAATACTATTTATGGGCAATGATAATTTGGTTGTAGTTTCCATCATTGAATGCCAGATTGATTATCTTGACATAGAAGACAATACCAAGCTGAGGCGCCATGTTATGTCATCTTATGAGCAGGTTAGCTATATATTTTTTACTTAATAGTTCTTTCTTTTGATCAATGATTTAACGGATTCGTTGTCATTAGATTACATTTTAAAAAATGTTGTTATCTCCTTGCGACTTTACATTTTGGATTTCAAATGCAGAATCTAATATCTTCGTTTATTTTTATTTTTACATGCGCAACCTTTCATTAGAGGATATCAGTATCTTCTATTTGCTGTAGAGCCATATAAGATCACAGCCTTCAAGGTAATTAAATCTTGCTAGCTCACATCCTCTCATCTATGTTTCATAAATATTCATATTACTTTCTGTATGACTTTTCAGGTCCCGGCACTGAAACTGATTCCAGAGTGTTCACAGTAAGTCTCAACTTTACTGTTTACCTTCTTTGTTCCTCTTCTCTCTTTTTGGTTTCGTTCTTGAGCTCCTTTTCAAACCAGACATGCTGTGTTCTTGCCAGAACCTAGAAGGCTAGAGCATATTTGTCATTTGATTCAACTTGGTCTGAATCATTTATTACTGTCTGTGTTGGTCTAAAGATATTGATTCTGGAAAATTTTCGACCATTTTATCTGACAACTGTTGGTTTTCATCAACTGGCAGCTGAAGGTGTATTTCAAAGTCAAACCAGTAGAGGCAAACAAACAAACCTCAAACTGCCCCAGCAGCTAATGGAGCAGCAGCTCCATGCTCCACCACCTCTACCTCATCCACTACAAGGGTTGCAAGTCTTCCTAGAGTCCCTACCAAGCACCAACTCCAGTTATTAGCTCTCGACCATCACCTCCTCCTATGGGAAACGGTCCTAGGCCTATGCCTCCTGGTGGCAGCCCATCACCTCCACCCCGCTGCATGATGGCAAATTTTGCTGCTAGGCTTCCAACAATTCCTCCTCAAGGTTTTCGAGGTCAACAGATGCCAACCCCTCCACCTCCCAACATGAAGCGGTAGGTATCCAGCCATCCAGTTCCATTTTTTGCTAGGCATATATCCATGAAGCATCGTGCAAGATGTCAAACTCCAGGAGTAAAGCATGATATGGTTCAGAATTGTAATCAAATTGCATATTGGATTTATTAATCAATTCAAGTACCTTTTTTGGAAATTAGAAGCTAGGATATAATATTTCAGTTTGATCTCTGGAAGAGTACTCAATAAATGACACGGTACTCTTCAAAATTTACCAACTTTTCATTCAAAACCGAAGATTTCAGTTGCGAATTTGAAACAAAATTAGAAAAATGAACTCTAATTGTTCATCTTCTTCACGTAAAACACAGGTCTTGAGCAAAGAATATTAACAGTTACTAGGAAATGCAACAAACCCTCCTCCATGCTGCGGAAGCAAGTCTCTCTGCGATACAAAATTAGAAAAATATTTGTTACCCTGAATTTTTACTCTATTCTTTTGCTGGTTTTACTTGATCTCCAATTTAATGACTGCTTCAGGATTTACTGAGATAGTACAACTTCTGCTTAACAGTGCTAATGATACCGACCATGTGAAAAGGATGTGATACGGAAGGTGATACTGTTAGTACTACATAAATCTTAAATCATGAGTTTTACTTTTACTCCTTACTTCTTGATGAAAACCTAGAGTTGATGAATTCTCTTTTCCTTGGCTTAGTAAACTGCACGATTTCTGTTACAAGAAAAACCAGACTAATGTTTAGCCCATGTATCTACTGAATAAAGGATGCTTAAAAGTGGGCTGAAGAATGGAACAGTTCCCACTCGTCCTACCTTTTTCTCAAACATTTATCTATTGCCGACTTGGACTTTGTTAGCTAAATTTTGTGAATAATATATGCACATTGTTTTTGTAGCCTCTTCATCATGCAGCAAGAGGTGAGCATGTCGATATTGTAACATCGTTGCTGGCTTCAGGAGCTTCTCTCACAAAGAAATGTATATGGAAAGGTTAGATAAAATATATATATATATATATATTTTCTCTCTCTCTTTTAAAAAAAATATATTTCCAACTAGAGAATTGTGCAGACTCCAAGGGAGCTGGCTGACGCAGACACAGAGGCTAGGAGAGTTTTGGAGGCAGCTACTGGTGCTGAGACTTGTTAATGAAAATTTTGTTGATTGTTCTCTAAATTTACCATTACCTATTCTCTTTTTGGGGGGGCTGGTTGTGGTTGGTCATTAATTATTTGATGCCATGCAGCAATAGGTAGGCCATAGAAAACAGTTTTGAGGTTTGGCTTGAAACATCCATTTTCCATTAGTTTCGTTATTTCATACAGCATCCGAATGTCTAAAATGACTGCAATTTCAAGTCATTTGTCTGTTCCATGACACATTTATGGCAACAATATTTTTTATACGAAAAATAATAAAATTTCTCCTCCTGCATAGAGTGTTGGAGCCTTTTCTGTTCCAAAAAAACCGTGTGAGCCATTTACCCTTGGCCTTCTTATTCTTGTTGGAACTGGGGCACATGTGGGGGACACACCCCTTAGAATGTTGGGGAATGGCAATTAATAGGAAATTTGAAATCTCGGATAAAATCAATGAAGGCAATGTTTTCTAACACCGATGATAATTTTCCAAGAAGTGCAATACATACAAATTTACACAAGCTAATAGATCTTGATGTAGAGACTAGAAAAAAAATATTGATAGAGATTATAATGTACACAAGTTGCTCACGTTCTAGATGCCAGAGGAATGTACCACTGGCGCGCCCAGGCATTGCACTGAAAGTAAGTCATGCTTTCTTGGCACGATCTTGATGTAGAGACTAGATAAAATATTGACAGAGCAGCAACCGCCGCTTGAAGGAGCTTGATTTTCTGGTTTCTGCTTTAAAATGTTCCTCTTTACATTAGATCCTTCTTCCAAAAGACTAGCGAGCTCCATTATCTGTTTGACAATCCATGGAAATCAGAAAATCAGAACAACGGAGTATCATTGTTCTCGTCTTTTGACAATATCTAATCATGTTTATTGATTTACATTTTAACAAGAAGGCTAAAGATTAAAGATGCATTATCAGAAAATACCTTCAGTGCAAGCTTCTCAAAGCATCGTTCCACGTTTTCTCTAGTTTTAGCACTACGTTCACAAACAAACACCCATGTTCTTTGGCAAGGACCGTTCCTTCTTCTCTGCTAACAACCATCTCGGACTCCTGAGATTATAACAAATTGACACAATAAAAGGAAAGCCTTGTCATTTTTTTAAGCATAACTCAGTTCAGTTGTATGGCTAATGCCTAATGGGAAAAAACTTGTTAGACAATTAACTGTTAATGGTGGTTAGAAGGACTAACAGCAATATATATATATATATATATATATTTGGTACTAAACCTCCCAATATCCAAAAGCTACAATGACCTTGATTAATTCAGACCCCTAACGCCTGTCTCTTCATTTACAATACTCGAATTCAAGATCTTATTTAAAAGGAATCAAATTTCTCTTACTTGACATAAACAATTGTCAGAGGCATAAACAATGCAAACAATTTAGAGTTTAAATTATATAAGAAATGAAATGTTTTATTAGCATGAGTGCGCTTTCTCTCTGAAGTTCTTTAACAATATTGTCTGAAATGAATTAATTCATTACTTCTCTCTTTAACATGTTTCCTGGTAGTCGAAAGCTGCAACAAATGTCCTCCTTTATCTCCTTTATAACTATCAATAATATGTTATGGAGAGAAATAAATAAATAAATTTTCCATTGGAGATGGTAACACATGGTCTTCTCTTTCCATTCAAGAAATTTCCATTGCCTTTTCTTCTCTTCTCTGGTTTTACATTTTCTATGATTTATATTGCCCTTCATCCATTCTTTCTTCTTTTTTTTTTTTTTAAAAAAAGAGATCTTTTTTATCCATCTACTTAGTGGTCCGCTTTTGTAATGTTTATCTACCCTACTCCAAACTCTATTTCTCCACCGCAACCAGCACAAAGGGTTCAACCATGAATTTAGCATGAACATGTAAATATTGTTTTCATTATGGCTAATATACTTCATCTGAGATGTAAACTCAGCATCAGAGCCACCCACTAACCTTGGTATTAGATATGCGATCGGTTATCTTATATATGGCAATTTATGCCAGTGACGGGCTCTGGTAAGTGAAATCAAGAAAGAGAATATTTCATTCATGTTGTAAAAAAATAAACATACCAAGAATGATCCCTTGGGCACCTCCATAAGAGCTTGTTAATGTCCTGAACATTTCCTGTCCAGCTGCAAGAAGCAATATGATTTCAGGCATCACTTATTCCCATGCCAACATAAAACTGCGGAAGCAAGACTATTACGAGAAAGGCCAAAGGTAAAAACAGATCGGAGAAGCATGCTCCTTTCACAATTTGAAAAATCTAAAGTAAATGGATGATTGACTCCAATAAAACAGTTCAACTTTTCATACTGGACGTATTCCCCTCTCTTGCATCTTTCAAAAGTTTTGAACTAAGGACCACACATGAAGTAATAGGCTACTAAGACAAATTGGAACTATAAAATGATAAATTTGGAATTGAAACGCATGAAAGATCATAAGCAAGCACAAACTTCATCTCTACGCACCTGTATCCCAAATTGTGAACTTCAATTTCTTCCCACCTACTGTTAGCAGCTTGATCTTAAAATCCACCCCTAGACCAAACAAAACACAAATTAAAGATCAATCTAAATTGCATATATATATCGAAAAACTCTGAAATCCACAAAAACTGCAATCAGATTCAAGCATTAATGGCACTAATTCTGGGAATTTCTGGTCCATTTTACCTGACAACTGTTTGGTTTTCATCAACTGGCAGCTGAAGGTGTATTTCAAAGTCAAACCGGTGGAGGCAAACAATTCTCAAACTGCCGCAGCAGCCAATGGAGCAGCAGCTCCATGCTCCACCACCTCCACCTCACCCTCCACAAGGGTTGCAAGTCCTCCTAGAGTCCCCACCAAGCACCAACTCCAGTTAACAAGCACAAACTCCATCTCTACGCACCTATTTCCCAAATTGTGAGCTTCAATTTATTTCCACCTACTGTTAGCAGCTTGATCTTAAAATCCACTCCTAAACCAAACAATTATGTGTTTACTTCTTCAAATCCTTTTTAATTATTTCACTGTATTAACTTTATGTTAATTAAAGTTTCATGTAGTATAGTTGTAATTTAAAATTTTTAGTTTTAGTTTTCTAAAATTTAAAATCCCTTGAATAAAATTAAAATTTTTTATAAATTAATTAAATTTAGTATTTTAGGTATTTATTTTAAAATTTTATATTCAATGAAGTAGTAATTTTAATTTTTAATTTTAGTTGTTAAATTTTTATTTTAATTGTTTGAATTTTAAAAACTAAAATAAAAAATTCAAAACCGCAACTAAACTAAATAAAGCCTAAATTAATAGTTCTATATAGCAAATAAATGAAAATTAAAGTTTTTTAATTTAAATAAAATATTCAACAAATACAATATTTAAAAAAAATTAATTATCATGTATTTACAATAAAATTTTTAACTCAAAATCTACTTAAAAATTAAATTAATACAAATAAAATAAATTATAAAAAATAAGAAAAAATCAAAAATCAAAAAGTCTTGACATGTTAAAACTTCTATGAAGCCATTCATTACGTGAATCTCAATCTAATACCTACATGATAAATGATTTGATGTTAGGCCGTCTTGAAAATTTGGAAACCAAAAAATAATATTTTAGGTGCAATTTTAATTTAGATATTGATGAATTTAGCTCCCTCGTTTCAAATCCTAGATCCATCATTGGTAATTGACATTGCAAGCGTTATCTTGCCCTACGAAAGCAAACGGTGCCGTTTATTGACATATGGTCACACGTTTAGGCACTTTTTAATCCTTTTTTTCCACCCTACCTTGTGGGCCGACCCGTCCTTCAGATCCAAAGTGAACGGACCACGAAGAAGCTCTGCACACAGAGCTCTGTAATAGATTTGTTCCTCTCGTTCACTCTCGATCACCTCCATAAGGCCTCATTTGTTTCCATGCAGTCTGTGTGATTGAATCTGCCAAATTTCTAGAGAATTTTGTGATTGATTTCTGTGTAATTCGTTTTAAAAAAGGAACCAGAGCTTCTTCAGGTGGATGCGGAGAGGATTCAGAGGCAAATACAGGAGGTGGCGGTGGGGAATTACCGCGCCTTCGTTGCAACTGCTGATGCGTTAGTTGCAATTAAAGACGAACTTTCTTCTATTGATAAGCATCTTGAATCTTTGGTAATTATCCTTTGTCTTTTCTAGATTTCGGATTGTTTTCAGACTTAGCTATTTCCACTTTCCAACTTAGGTATAGAGATTTTCTTATGCAATTATGATTATCTATGTTTGGATTCTTGAATTCAAGCATGATTGTGGGGTTTAAGCAAACTCCAATATGCTGAGAATTCAAGTGTGATTGTGTGGTAGAAGGAGAACTGAAACCTTGAGTGTCTCTCTAAAACATTGTTAACACCCAAACTTCTTGAAGATGCCTAATGATTTCAGTTGATTGTTGATGGAGTTATACTTTTGTTCTAGGGTTTCTCATGGTTTCTCAAACGGGGGTTTAGACAGGGATGCTTCTCAGACGGTGGGTTTCGAAAGGAAGAAAGAAATTAGGGAGAATAGAATGATTTGGGGATTTCTGATTTGGGTTTAGAAAGGAAGGAAGAAAGTGATTTCTCATTTGGAGATTCTGATTTGGGTGGGTTAATGCTTCTCAGATGGTGGGTTTTGAAAGGAAGAAAGAAATGAGGGAGAAGAGATTTAGGGATTTTTGATTGGTTAAATACGTGGTTTGGTCCCCTCAACTTTCATTTTTGAACCAAATTTACCCTCAAACTTCAAAAAGTACTAAAACAATCACTAAACTTCAATTTTTGGGACGAATTTCGTCCTTCTATCGATGGAAGTGTCAGATGGCACGTTAAGTTGCCACAAAAGCATTTTTTTTGTTTTAAACCTTTAATGACATGGAAAATTACTTACCCATTACATGCCATGGGGGAATTTTATTGTCCACATTAGATTCTCATTACTTTTGCTCTTCCCTTTCAGTGGGGCTAACAGGTTTTCGTGGGCAAAGATCGAGTCTACTTTCATCACCATTCTTCATCAATCAATTATTCATCACCATCATCAAACAACAAATCCCACAAAAAAAAGAAAATCTTTTTGATTTTTTCACAAAACAAAAAATTTGTTGGGTTTGAACCCAACAGCCCATGAGTTCCATGGAACCCAGCAGCTGGAACCCATATATTTGAACCCAGCAGCCGTTGGGTTCCAACGATTGGAACCTAGAACCTAACCCTGCAGGGTTCAAACCCAACAACCACTGAGTTCCATGGAACCCAATGCATGTTGGGTTTCAAGTCTACTGGGTTCAAAAGAACCAATAGACCCCAAGGGGAAAGAGAAGGCAAAAAAATTATTTTCCTTTTGGTGATCTCACAGTGATCATGTGTTGATCGGGAGTTAAGAATCAACACTAATAGAGAAGAAAGGAGATAGAGAGCAAGGTGGAGATTAGAAATTGAAGAAGAGAAGAAACAAAAAGGCAACAAGTGGAGAGAGAGAGGCAAGAGGTCGGCTGAGATTGAAATTAGATTTTTTTGGTTTCTAAGTTAAGCATATTTAATTATTTATACAAACTTGAGATGGTGATCGGAGTGGTGAGGGATGATCAGATTTGAGAGAAGAAAAAGGGTTGCAGGAAGAAAAGGCAATGGCAAAGAGAAAGAGGGGTTGGAGGATGAAGAAGGGGGCATTTAAGTAATTTTACATTTTTAATGTACAAACTAATTAAAATGATTAAGTGAAATTGTAAAATTATAATAATTTGATGTGGAAGAGAAACAAATGCCATGTCATTAAAGAGACATATTTTTTTATGTGTCATTAAAAGTATATTATTTTTATAAACTTAACGTGTCATTTGGTACTTCCATCGATGGAAGGATGAAAATGGTTCAAAAAATTGAAGTTCAAGGATTGTTTTAGTACTTTTTAAAGTTTGAGGGTAAATTTGGTTCAAAAATAAAAGTTGAGGACCAAATCAGATATTTAACCTTTTTGATTTGGGGATTTCTTACGAAAGATGATGCGGTAAGGTGGGGCTCACAAGGCATGGGTGGAAAAAAAATTAAAAAAAGCCTAAACCTGTAACTGTTTGTACTTTAACCATCAATAAACTGTGCTATTAGTCTAAATTGGATGGAGGGACCATATTGATATGTTTTTAAATTGTATAAAGAGGACAGATGAAGTTAATTAATAGTCAAGGAAGGACATAAAAAATTGCATTATTTTTGGTAGCAGAGAAACAATAGTTGACATCAACCCCCGCCTTACTGGACCCATTAATTAATCTATTGAAAAGACCAAGAGACTGACCAAACACGGCTCCTAAAGGTTGGGCCATAGAAACGCGTCGGCCAACATTTGAGTTGACTAAATTGCCCTCACGAAGTAAACCGCAGATACCAAAACACCCCAAAGTCAAGTCACTAAATACCGAAAAACCGGATTCATTAATAAGAAATTGCGTGACGATAGTACCCCAAATCATTTTTTCAAGAGTAAAATTGATAATATTATTTAGAAAAAAATGTAATGTAGTTTAAATTGTATTAAATTATATTATAGTAATTATTTGAAAGAAGTAAGTCATTGGATATGGGGTTTTTTATTTAATGATTATTATTTTATAATTTCATATAATTTATAGTATAAAATAAAAATTTTTATTATATGAATTTAGAAAAATTTTAATCCTTAAGTCTTAACCAGATTCAAAAAATTCAAATATTTTATCATGGCGTGGGTAATTTTGAGATACATAGCATTATAGCTAGCTGCTGAGCATTTTATTGGCTCCTAAAAGCTCTTAGTCAAATTTAAGTTGTGTTTAGGATTATTGTTGAGTACTATGATTATGAGCTTTTTAATATTTTATTATGAGAAAAATTATAATATTATTTAATAATTACTTTAAAATTTTTATATATTAATATAATCACAAAATTATATAAAATAATAATTAAAATTAATTTAATCATAATAAATTAATATTTTTACAATGGATTATGTAAAAAAAAATGATAAAGCAACCTGAACGTAAATATAGTGTGTTCTTATGCAGTAGATTAATTTAATTTATGATGTATACTTACTTTCGTCGTATTATTGTTATTGTTTAAATTTAATTCACTGCCATAATCACCAAAATCTTCTCTTTTATATTATCTTGTTTAAAAGGTCTTTAATCAATTGAAAAGCCTCTGCAGCTTTAGTTGAATTAGGGAGGTATATTCCTCAGGTTGGGGAAGTCCAAAAAACCAAAATCAGTTGAAAATTGGGAGGGCAAATTCGACATTTAAGAAGTCAAAATCAATTGAGAGTCAACTGTGAAATTGGAATTTCTGAGTAAGCGGGTCTTGTGAAAAGTCGAAAAGCTCTTCATTAGAGGGCAACAACCTTCCTCCAGTTTTGCAAACCCAGCAACAATCCCTCTTCCATGCCAAGCTCATCCTCTGTAACTCTCCCTCTCTTTTACCCAATTTTTCCTTACTAAATCTTCTTGTTCCTTACTGTCTGTTCCCTCAAAGAGAAAAAAAAAAAAAAAAAGTTCAAGCTAAAGGCAAAGGTACAATATTACATATTTATGCTTCTAATTACTCTGCATTTTTTTACATCGCTTTGG